CCCCAAAACCCCAAAACCCCAAAACCCCTATTACAAGATATTATTATAATTTGATGAAAATTAGAAATTAAAATTTGAAATCTGCTGTTAAATAATAGCTAATAAAGATGTCTAGCAAATATACATTTAAACTCGTTTATATCATAAAAAACTAAAATGCCAGATTCTAGTTTGAAAGAATTTTCTAATCTCAAAAAGATTACACACATTATGGGCATTATTTTTATCTTTGCTGATGAATAATAAGGCATCTTTCGTGAAAAACATGACCACACTAGAGCTATCTAATCTCTTACAAACTCGAAAAACAAACATTGCACAAAGAGCACTTGAATGTCTAGGTATTCATGCTATTGTTTTATCTTTAATTTCTCATATCCTAGGATATTTGCTACCTCTCAGGTTGCTGCTAGATTTATTGCTATTAATTTTAATCATTATTAAGTTCGTCATCACATTGTTGATTTCTTTTAGTTTTGTCTAGTAACCCAAAGACACCTAGCAACCCTTTTTAAGCAAATTCTTTAGTAGAATTTAGTTTATCTAGCTGATTAATTATATCTTCTATGTTATAAAGAGCTATTTTTTGATTATTTTTTATTTTTTCCCAAAATATATTCAATACTTATTTTATATAATCTGCCAAATCTCCTTAATTTGCATATGAATTTGGATTCAGAGCTTACTGAACAGGAGGTGAATCAATAATTATATTAATAATTTAGAGGACATAGTCTCCCTAATTTTCTTAAAAATGCATTTACATTAAGGATGAAATAGTTCTTAGACATTTAAAAAGAAGTTCTAATAGATTTGATCTTGGCTAATCTTCATATCTCCCATTAAGATCCTATTAGTTGAAAATTCTAAATTAATTGAAATGTGGCTATTTTTCTTCTTCATTTTAATCAAAATTGTTTCTTTACCTCGACTAATAACTTCCTTAATTATAATCTCTGTTTATCTATTAATTTTATGAATTTTTGCTTTTAAAGAGGCTTTGTAGTTATTTTTACAATGAAGCAATTTTATTATGATTCGATAAACTATTTTCATTTTTTTAAGATTATGAGTTTTAATCTTAATTTTGTATGAATTTTTTCAATTTATTCTGATCTTAATCTTACAAACAATGCGCTAAGATATGATCATTATATATAGAAGAATCTATTATTTTAGAGCATTATTCACATTGAATTTATTAGCTTTGGAAATTCTAATTAGAAATTCGATGTGATGACTAATGATTTATGCTAGTATTAATTTATTCAATATCTTATTATTAGGCTTATAACTATTAGCTAGTTTTTTATTATTTTTAATCATTTTGTTTGCAAGGCATAATTTAAAAGTCTTCTCTTGTTTTTTACTAATTCTATTGTGATACAACTTATCCTTGTGGTTTGTTTTCTTAATTTCTATTTTCAGGCCTTGGTTATTAAAAACTAACCGGATTTTGGAAACTAATTTCATTATCTTTTGTAAAAGGTATGACTTTGGTAATCTTAGAATTCTACTGTTTCTGCATTTAGTTTTAAGCGTTGTCTCTCATTATATTGTTATTTTAGGTTTAGTCAATACTTTTTTCAATTATTGGAATGTTTTGCACAGAAGGACTTGGGCTTTAATTGATTTTATCTTCCATTTCATCTTCTTCACTATCTTCCTCAATGTAAGGTTCATCATATCTATCTATTCAAATGATGTTTATTGGATTTTAAACAAAATGTGGAAGTGTAGAGCTGATTAAGTCTTATCTGGTCACACCTCAGTCAGCTCTAAAATTATCATGATTATTGAAATCGATGTCTTCATCGTTCATTTTTGCAGCAACTATTTGTACTGATTATAAATAACTTGT